AAAAGTATCGCTAATTTTCTGGAGAATAAGGAGAGCAGGCCGCGAAGTGGGCCCCTCAGAAGTATTTGTTCATCCGAGAACGCGGTAAGTCCTCGGGAGGAACGTGGTCTTGCCTGCAAGGGCGTCTCCCAGGCCTGCCCAGATTTCTCTGTGATGTCACTGGGGAATGAGCCAAAGCTGATTCGCACATGGAGGAAAGACTTGTTCCAGATTATTGTTCACTTTTACAAGGTGACTAAGTTGCTGACACAATAAACTGAATTGTCAGCAGTTGATATTTTAAGATCCATATTTTAAGATTCCCAGGAATTTGACCTGGGAAGGGATTTTGTATGGGAGATAACATGGGATCTTTAATATCAGTGGAGAACTTTCTTTAAGGACTCTCGGGTACATCAAGGCATGCCTGGTTCTGAGCCCGCGGAAGCGCGATTTGTCATGACATAAACTTACCACACCAGTTAACTTTAAGATCATGCTGGCTTTTATTGGTTTTCAGATGTAGTACTAATTAAATCCCAATCTCGTTATTTTAGGCCTCACTAGGCACCAACTGTTGTCCATGTGTTACTTATTATATTAATGATGAGCACTTAGTGCTATTCCTTTTATTGCGGTGAAGTGTGCATAATAGAACCTTGAACACTGGAATCGTGCATTCATACCGTTGCACACCTGTCCCCTCTGCTGCCCAGATCCAGAACGTGTTAATCTTACGAAACAGAAACTCCTCCATACCCAAGACACACTGTGCATGGGCTCTCTCCCAGCCCCAGGCAACCCCCATTTTACTTTCCTTCTCTTTGAGTGTAACTGCTCCAGGACCTTTTTAAGGCTGAGTAATGTTCCGTGGAATGTAAGTACCAAACTGTTCACTCCCTCCCCTGCCGATGGACCGTGTTAAATGGCGTCCATTTTTTGGCCGCCGTGAGTGGAACACAGGGGTACATCGGTGATACTCTGGCCAAGGTGGTGCACAGCAGCTGGGCCCTTTTCTAAGCATTAGTCCCAACTAAGAGGAAGGTGTTTATCTTTTGGTCTTTGGGGGAGGTTTTGCTTTCAAATTCCATTTCCATTTAAGAGATGATTTTGTTAGTGCTACTCAATCAATCCCTTGCTTTCAAGCAGTATGGAGAGTAAGGCGTTGCCTGTGGGTTCCTATTTAGAATCATGTGCAGTATAATTTAATTCAACCAACTAGTAAAATTTGATGATACACTAACATTTTTTATTAATTTTGTTTTTGATAAATGTGAACCCTGGACTCTCTTCACACTTCACTACTTTGATTCGCTCGGGTGTGTCCAGATGTCTCCCCACCTTCTCCCGGTAACTTGCTGTCAGTCAGCGGAGCCTGGTGACATTTGTTTGATGACTCAAACTGAGTGAATCAAGAGGTGTAGATAGTATGTATGTGAAGGGTCCCCTTTGGTGGGTGTTGGATGTAGCCACATTTGTAAGTGTTGCAGCTATAGGACAAAATGAGTCTGGGTTGGATCTACGGGTAATATTAGGTGTTTTTGTGTGATAGGCTTTCCAGGGTTGGTTCTTTAATTAAGCCATTTAGTGCTTCCAAACTGTTAGTTGTGTCTGATGAAGTCAAGAGGGGGGAAGAGGGGAGCGTGAAGAAGACGAGGGCAAAAGCACGCTCACATTGAAGGGAGAGCTCGGGTCCCTGCTCAGCTCGCGCTCATTGGACATGAACACAGAGCTCTGCTGGGGGGACTTCTGCGCGACAGCCCATCAGGCTTTGAGGAGGCGCCCTGCACACAGACCACTCGCAGCACCTCTGCTCAGATCAAACGTGCAGATCAGACGTTCTTAGAAGAAACTGGTCACTACCGCTGTTGTGGGTGGTGAGATAGCAGGTCTGAGTCACGGTGCAGCTTCCGCAGAGCTGTTCACGCGCGCGTGTGTGTCATGCAGTCAGCTGGCGGGCGTGTCAGAGGCCAGGAAGGAGTGGGGTTGACAGAGCCTGATGCTTGCAGACGTCCTGGGACCTGAGGGAAGGAAGGAGTGACATTGTGTGTTTGAAAGGTTTTTGCACTGGACCTCCTGGCAGCTTTTCTGTGACGGTCTTGGGTGGATTAAGGACCCAGAAGTAGAAATATTTGACTTCCCGGGTAGAGGGCCACGGGCAACCTGTGCCTTTCAGGGCTTCGTCGTCCACGTTCAGGCAAAACACAGCTCTGAACTTGTCAGTTTTCTTTGCAGGAAAAATGCATTGGCTAAAAGGAAGAACACTATGTTTCCTGGACTTGCAGAATCTATTTCTGAGAACTATGGGTAATATAGAATAACTGATGAGAAAAGTTAGGTTGTGGCAGGCACAGGGAGGGTCATTTCTGTTTCTTTTTTCCAATTGTTTCAGTTATGTAAGTTAAAATGAAAAAAAAGAAAAGAAAAGAAAAAGGAAACGACCTTTCCTGGCTGTGGAAGTGCTCTTAAGTTATACTGCGTCTGACGTTGACATTGGGCCAAGGTTCCCTGAGAACAGCAGGCCTCCAGTGGAGTGCAGCTCCTTCCTCCCCGCTTATCTTTGGGTAGTGGCGATAAGGCCAACAGAAACAGACAGGTTCACCCTTCGGTGGAGAAAAACAGAAGAATATCAAAGTAGGAAAACATAAACACGCCACGGCCTGCCCTTTAAAAACAAGTAGCCTTATCGAGATGTTGTTCTCCTATCGACTGGCCAACCAATTGAGCGGTGGTCGTGTGCTCACAGGGTCAGGCTGTCCACACAAGACACCTCAGTCCATCTTCATCACCCCCACAGAGAGCCGTACCCCCCAGCCGCCCCTTCCCAGGCCCAGGCAGAAACTCGTCTACTCTCTGCCTCTGTTTGCCCAGCCTGACATGTCAGTGGAACCACAGGAGACTTCTGTGACTGGCTCTATTCGCCAAGCACGACTAGCGTATTCCTTTCCACTGCTGCGTAGCGTTCCACTGCTGCTGCTTACGGCCACGCCACTTTTAACTCCCACTTGTCTTTAAGATCACGAGTAACCAGAGGTGCTGCTGGAACACTCTTGTACAGCTTTAGTGTGGATGGAGGTTTCTCTGGGTCTGCGGCGAGGAGTGGGGGTTGCTGGTCACATGCTGGCTCTGGGGTTAACCTTTCAAAGAACCACCAGACTCGTTTTCCAAAGAGTTTGCATCATTTTGCTTTTCCCCCAGTGATGGGGGAGGCTTTTAATTTTTCCACATCCTTGCCAACACCTGTGTTATGTGTTGCTGGTTTTAGTCATTCCAGTAGGTGTGAAGTGGTATCTCGTTGTGGTTTTGACTTGCATTTCTCTGATGCCTAATGACTTTGAGCATTTTTCTTTGTGTTTTATTGGTCATTTTTGTACCTTCTTGGGAGAGATGTTTACTTAGATCCTTTGCCCATTTTAGATTAGATTATTTGTCTTTTTACTACTGAGTTGTAAGAGTTTTTTACATTTTCTGGTACAAGGCCCTCATTAGCTATGTGACTGACTACATCTCCTCAAGTTTGTAGGCTGTCCTTTTGTTCCCTTGATAGTGTCTCATGCAGCACACCATTTTTCATTTATTTATTTTTCCTTTGTTTCTTGTGCCTTTGGTATCTAAGAAGCCATTACCTAACTCAAGTCACGTGGATTGACCCTTATGGTATTAGCTTTTATACTTTTATGTCTGTATCTACTTGAATTGAGTTTTTTTTTTAAAGATTTATTTATTTATACAAGCACTGGGGTACAGGCCAGAGGCGGGAGAGTGAGAGGATTCACCAGAGACAGAGCAGGGAGCAGAACAGGCAGAAGGACCGAAATACACTGCTGAGGGGAGCAGCGGGTGAAACAGGAGAGGTCTGCGCGCCATGTGGGAATCTCCCCGGCTGGGCAGAAATGGAACTGGTGCCGCTGAGGCTGCGAACAGCTTCACAGCACTGCGCTCAACCCGCTGCGCCACCGGGGAGGCCCCTACTCAAGTTGAGTTTTGCATATGATGTTAGGAAGTGGTCCAGAATATTTTTTCTTCCTGTGATACCCAGTTGAAAAGACTGTGCTTTCCTCATTAGATTGTTTTGGCACCTTTGTTGAAATCAGTTGACCATGAATGTAAAAGTATGTATCTGGGCAGTATTCTAGTGTGCTGTATGTCCATCCACCTAGTAATGCCACATTCCTGATTACTTCAACTTTGTAGTAAGTTTGAAATTGGTGTGTGTGGTCCCTTCTATTTTTGCTCTTATTTTCAAGGTTATTTTTATTTTGACTATTTTGGACCTCTACAAAGAGTGTGGGATCCGCTTGTTAAATTTCGTTTAAAAAAAATACTAGCACTTGGGATTTTGACAGGGATTGTTTTGAATCTTGTGGACCAGTTTGGAAAGTATTGTCATCTTACCAGATGTAAGTCTTTCAACTCACACTTCGGATGTCTTCCATTTATTTAATTCTTTAATTTCTTTCAATGCTGTTTTGACATTTTCAGTGTGTAACCTTGCATTTCTTTTATATTTACTCATAAGTACCTATATCTTTTGAATGAAATTTTCTTAATTTTATTTTGGATTTTTCATCACCGTTATGTAGAGACACACTTGATATTTGTGTATTGCTCTTGTAGCCCACAACTTTGCAGAACTCATTTATCCTGGGAGATTTTTAGTGAATTCTTTAGGATTTTTTATATATGGCATCTCATCTGCAAATAGTTTTACTCCTTTTTTCCAGTCTGGGTGCTTTTTACTTGTTTTTCTTGTCAGTGGCCCTGACTGGGCCCTTGGGCACATTGTGGGGCAGGAGCTGTGACAAGAGCCACCCGCCTCCTTCCCTATGCGGAGGGAAGCTGCTCTGACCATCACCGCGGGGCGCGATGCCGTTTATCAGGTCAAGGGCGTTTCCTGCCCCGTTCTGGTCCTGGCTTGTTGAATGTTCTTATGAAAGTGTCAGATTTTTGTCAAATGCTTTTTCTGAAATAAATTTAAAAAATTGACTCCTTGTTCCTTTTTTTTTTTTTTTAATCTGCAGAGATTGACTTGCACACCAAATGCGTGGTGGACGTAGATGCGAACAAGGTTATTCTCAGTCCTGTAAACACTAATCTTTCCAAAGGAGATGCCCGGTAAGTCAAGAAACAATCTGGCTGTGGCCAGTGGGTTTTAGAACAACTGGAAACAGTGGGGGCTGGGTGGGTGTCGTTTACCAGATCCCCAGCCCTTGCTGGATTGCTGTCAAGTCAATGAGACTGGCTGACTCAGTGCTGGGACGTGTGTGCTGGACAGAGAAGAAAGCTTGGGTCAGGCTGAAGCAGCCGAGGAAGCCTGGGAGGGAGACAGCCTTGCCTGGGGCTGGTCAGATGTGAATGGGGAGAAGGGGGCAGAGGGTCACTTCCAGGTATTTCCTCGGCTTGGGCAGCTTCTGCTTCTGCCCGATGGCATCCTACTGTCAGCCAGACCCTTTCAAGTGTGCCACTTCCTGAAGGTGTTCCTGCAGCCCCCAGCAGTTCCTCCTGTGTGAGCCAGAATCCAGATGGCTGAATCTGGTTATTTTATTGTTTTGGATAGTTCATTGTGGCTCTTCAGTGGATTTTAGGGTCTTCGAGAGATGGGAATCTTCCGGGCTGAGGATGAATATACTGAGTATCATTTCTGGACTTGGATAATGGTCTGAACAAAGGGGCCTGAAGCTTTGACCAAAGTGAATTTGAGGAAGAAAGAAGAGATTACTTGGTTTTTCTTACTTATTAAATGCAGGAAAATTGATTTTCTCAAGTAAGCTGGGATTGGATTACAGAAGCTCCTGAAAGCAGATGAGCACATTTAAGTCCTGTGTCTTTATGTTTCGGAAAAGCGCCATCTTGAGCAGTTTTGAATGTTAGGATCAAGGAGATGGATTAGGAAAAGTTGCGGCCCAGCAGCGTAGAGTTTGGATCAAGGTGGGCAAGACAGCTTTCTCAAGAGATCGGCTGTATCAGAGACATTTTCATCCCGACCCTGGAAATGGAGAGCAGACATGAGAGAGGTGAAGCCTGCCTGGTGCCTGGCACACAGCGAGTGCCTTGGGGATGCCTAGAGGCCGTGGTGAAGAACACAGCTGGGAGGTGTCCATGCCTGTCCTTTCGGGTGGAGTTGGAAAGCACTGGATTTGGAGTCAGGAGACCTGGGGTGGAATCCCTGCCTCACATCTGACTGGGGTGTTTTCCGGAGATGGCATTAGTGTTGTGAAAGTGCTTTGTGCAGTGTTCTGGGAAGGTTCTGGCTTACTGTCACCGACCAAGAGCTGTTGCCCAAGCCTCTCTGGGGTGTGGGTTCTAGGGAAGTGCTGTCGTGACTGTGTGAAGGCGTTACCTGTGTCAAAACGAGGCCAGGGGTTCGAGCCTGCACACGGAGAGGCCGCTGTCCTGAGTGCCAGTGGAGACCTGGAACTTTCAACACTCTTCTTCTGGGAACCTCAGTCTGGACGCTGTTGTTTTATTTGGACATGTGGGCTGCTCTGAAGAAACTGGGAGGCAATATCCTGTGGTTGAAAAGTGTGGGCTTTTATGCAGCCGACTTCGGTCTGCTCTTGCCCCACCACGCGTGGCTCGCCTGGCGCCTCCCTGTGTTTCTCGCCCAGGAGGTGTGCAGCTTTACGTGGCTGTGGGGCAGAATGCCTCCAGGGGTTAGTGGCTCAGAACACGGATACCCACCTGTTACCTCATGGTTCCTGCAGGCGGGGTGGCTTTTCGCTCCTCCGAGCTGTCTTGGGCCTCCCTGGGAGACTTGGGGGCTGGATTCACCAGAGAAGGCTGGGTCCCCCAGGTCGGGGTGTTGGCTGCCTGTTGGCTGGAGGCCTTGGGCAGTCGTGGACAGGACACCTGCTCCGTCGGGTGGCAGGTTCCAAGTCAGGCTCGTGGAGAGCAAGAAGCTGGTGGAAGCCCTGCCGCCCTCTCGTTCCGGCCTCGGGAGTCCACGGTGCCGTGGTGACATGCTCTCGCTCAAGCTGTCTAAAGCTCTGCTGGTCCTTGGGAAGAGGAAGCAGACGCATCTCTCCATGGAGGAAGGGCAGGGCCCCCTAAGGAAGGGCTGTGCCTCGGTGGGGCCATCTTTGGGAAACACAGCTGGCCACAGTGTATGGTGGTGCCTGCGCCGGAGAGGACGTTGTGAGGACAAAGTGAGCCCATGGGAGCGAGGAAAAGGATGTTTTCTTTCTCCTTGAGACCTTTAAAACTCCGTGATTTATGAAACAATTAAATAGCATTTTTTGGTTCCATAGGACGTCTTGGATGGCTCCTTTTCTCCATGTGCTAAACATACACGCTGAACGCCACTCAGTGCTGTGGGCTACTGCCTCATAAAACGTTTGATAAAAATGAGCTTCCATAAGGCATTAAGAATGGTGACATTAAGAATAGCTTCTTGAAAAACAGCTCTTTTTTGTTGAAGTATGTAAGTCCTGCAGGAAGGTGTATGCGACTGGACCCCCGAGGACTCACCAAAGAAGTTTATCTCAACCTTGACCCCGAGTCTCCAGACCTGCTCTGAAGACAGTTCGCAGTTGAGATTCAGTGACTGCGCGACCTGACGGGAGCGGTGGAAGAAGATCCTTGGGTGGGTGTCTCCACCTGGTATCTCCCCCTCTACCAGAATGTCCACCCCAACACGGCCCCAGAGGACCCTCCCAGGCCACTGGCTGGTGATGGCTCACCCTGCGAGAGGGCGGGAGAGCTGAGGGCAAGGGTGGTAAAAAGCAAACAAAGAGCCAGCACCTCGACCAGCTCTGTCAGCCTCAGGAAGAAATATGGGGAAAAAACAGAGATGAGGAAAAGAATAAGAAAGTCCAGTGTGGCTGCCCTCTCTGCCTGGACTCAGGTCTCCTGAGAAGGGAGCAGGGACATGGGCCGGCAGGGCCGTAGACCTTGTTCTGGAGCTGCTTTCCTGGCAGTCATTTTGAGACCAGCATGTACCTCTCGGGAAGTGGCTCTGCTCGACAGACGTCCTGCCAGCATCGTCCCCAGCTGCAGCCCGAGTCTGGCGTCTCTTTTCTTGCATCTTTGTCCTTCCTGTGGTGATTTAGTCACAGCAAGGAACCCGCAGCTTGCATTTGGGGGGCCTCAGGATACTTTCGTTCCACCACTGGGCTCGTGTTCCCAACTGAGCCAGTGAGCTCGGGCCCAGCGCGGGACCCCGCAGCCAGCAGGTGTGTGGCGGGAGGGCAGGGGCACCTACTGGCGTCGCCCGGCCTGGCAGGGCGGGCGCTTTCCCCAGATTTCTGGTTTTCAGCAACTTGGGCTGTAATAAGATTTTTGCTGCGCTCTTTCAGTTTCAGTAGCAAATAAATGTGTCTGGAGGATCTTACTATAAGGAAGATGTATTTGAGAAGCTTAAAAAAAAAAAGTGTGTAGGCCTGATGAATATTCCTGAGCATGCTCTCGGTACCCAGATGAGAACCGCTGGAATATTGCTAGCGTGACAGAAGACCACTGCGAAGGGCCCTTTGTTGAAGAGCGACCTCAAGGGGAAAGCAGGAGTTTGGGAATGTAGCAGGTTAGTGGTGACTGTGTTGAAGCCCTTACAGGGGAAAAGGAAGGACACTCGAAATAAAAGGTACTTTATGTGATACGAAGTTAATTGCCCTCCAGCTTGTTGCGTGACTAATCCACCAAGCAAGTTAGTTTCATAGGAGCTGTGTTTGTAACTGGAGAGGGATTTGAAATGGACACAAAAGTGCTTTGAGTCAGTTTAAATCACTGGTCAGAAAGGCTGGAATGAACGTCTTTCTTGTAAAAGCTACAGTGTCTTTGCTATTATAATATCCAACTCCATTCTGCTAAAACCAGGACTGGTTTTACAGGTGCATGTAAGTGAGTATACTTTGCTAGTGAACATACATAAGATTTAAAACAATGGTTTGGACATTTTTTCCGCTAAACTTTGTATTAACTTATGACCATTTCATGATTTGATGTTTATGCTCGTTAAAACTAATCGAAGCCGGGATTAAATAAATTGGTGAACTGCCAGACTGACAGCTTAATCTGGGAATTTTGGGGAAACATTTGCTGTGCTGTATATGCAATTTCAAAACTGATTTGAAAAATAAGATGCTTAAAATTCAGCAAGTGGGTAGAATGGGGCTGAGAGCGACTAAGAAACCCAGCTGGGAGCCATCCATCCAGGTCAGCTCCACCACCCGATCCGGGTGGTTATGTGGAGGAGTTGCTTCATTTTCCTCAGTTTACCCGTCCCCAAAGTGGAGGTTCTCGCAGTCCCTGCCTGAGGACCATCACGAGATTGAGGAGCTAGCGGGTCACCTGCCCACTGTGCACAACTCTCATGTCAGCTCTTCTTGAGGATTTCTGTTACTGTGGGATGGCCTGTAAGTGGCTGCGGTCCCTGGCATATGAATCGCCACAAAGCAGGTAAATCCTTAAACCGAAGTAGAGTCCACGCGATGTCCATGTGCCTGGCCAGAAGTCACCTACTTCTCTGACGATTTCAGCTCCGCAAGTCAGAAACTTAAGTTTTCAGTTTGCCCAAAGTTGATGGGGGCTCTTAGGACCTCACAGAGCAACTGTTAGAGGCCTAGGCTGGGGAGCTGGGACCCCTAACTTTAGGTGTACGGTGAGTAAAATAGGACTTGCTACCGTCTGGGCCTCTCCTGAGTGTCTGCTAACTTGGGAAACCAGGTCAAATCATTGCTTGTGAACGTAGGGTCAGACAAAGGGACGTTTTTATGAAATGTGGCAGGCTTTTTCTATCCCACAATACTCTACCCAAACACCATGACCAAATGCGTGTCTCTACCAGTGCCAGCGGCTTCACACAGTGCTATGCTGGACACAGGTGGACCTGGCCATCTTTCCTCCTGCCCAGCTGTTCTGCTTACGCTATCAGTGTGTGAGGCCTCTTGGAGTTCCCCGTTGCCCTGAGTCAGCTGAGTTTTTTACATTGATCCTTAGGGTTTCCCAAGTCTTCAGCAGCAGCATATATATATATTTTTGAAATTTATTTATTCATGCATACAAGAACCAGGGTACAGGCCAGATGCACGGGAGGGTGAGAGGATTCACCAGAGACAGAGCAGGGAACAGAACAGGCAGACTGACGAAATACACTGCTGAGCGGAGCAGCGGGTGCGACA